ACTCATCCCAACCAAAGGCCACTACTCCGTACTCATCCCAACCAAAGGCCACTACTCCGTACTCATCCCAACCAATGGCCACCACTCCGTACTCATCCCAACCAATGGCCACTACTCCGTACTCATCCCAACCAATGGCCACTACTCCATACTCATCCCAACCAATGGCCACTACTCTGTACTCTTACTACTTGACCTCTCTGTGGCTTTTGATACTGTTGACCATCCCCTCCTCCTAAAAAAAACTCCACTCTCTTGGCCTCTGAGACTCTGCTCTCTCCTGATTCTCCTCCTACCTATCGCAGTGCGCCTTCAGCATTACCTATAACGCTGCCTCCTCCTCTTCACTTCCTCTTTCTGTAGGGGTTACTCAAGGTTCTGTCCTTGGACCCCTTCTCTTCTCCATCTACACCTCCTCCTTAGGTCACTTGCTAAACTCCCATGGCTTTAAGTACCATCTCTATGCTGATGACACACAAATCTATCTTTCTACCCCTCACCTCACCCCTTCAGTCTCCTCTTGCATTACTAACCTACTAAGCGACATATCGGCATGGATGTCACTCCACTTCCTCAAACTCAATCTTTCCAAAACGGAGCTCTTAGTATTCCCCCCAGCCCGTGCCCCCTCCCCTGACTTCTCCATCAAGATCAATAATGCAACCATCCCTCCCCCCATGCCAGGGTGTTAGGTGTAATCCTAGACTCCCATCTGTCCTTTCACCCCCAAATCCAATCACTGTCCAAATCTGGTAGACTTCACCTCCGCAACATCTCCAACCTCCGCAACACCTCCAACCTCCGCAACATCTCCAAGATACACCCTTTCTTAACCTCTAAAACTACTGAGCAACTTATTCACTTCCTTGTTATATCACGCCTTGACTATTGTAACTCCCTCCTCATTGGCCGACCTCACCGCAGACTATCCCCTCTTCAGTCTATCATGAATGCTGCTGCCAGACTCATCCACCTTACTAACCGTTCTATATCTGCCACCCCTCTCTGCCAATCTCTCCACTGGCCTCCACTCAGTGTCCTCCACCCCTCTCTCTTCTGCCAATCCCTCCACTGGCTTCCACTCAGTGTCCTCCACCCCCTCTCTGCCAATCCCCCACTCCACTGGCCTCCATTCAGTGTCCTCTACCCCTCTCTGCCAATCCCTCTACTGGCCTCCATTCAGTGTCCGCCACCCCTCTCTGCCAATCCCTCCACTGGCCTCCACTCAGTGTCCTCCACCTCTCTCTGCCAATCCCTCAATGGCCTCCACTCAGTGTCCTCCACCCCTCTCTGCCAATCCCTCCACTGGCCTCCATTCAGTGTCCTCCACCCCTCTCTGCCAATCCCTCCACTGGCCTCCACTCAGTGTCCTCCACCCTCTCTGCCAATCCCTCCACTGGCCTCCACTCAGTGTCCTCCACCCCTCTCTGCCAATCCCTCCACTGGCCTCCATTCAGTGTCCTCCACCCCTCTCTGCCAATCCCTCCACTGGCTTCCCATTGCCCAACGGATAAAATTCCAAACAATAACATATAAAGCCATTTATAACTCCGCCCCCAAATTACATCACCGATCTTGTCTCCAAATATCACCCAAACTATACTCTCCACTCCTCGCACGACCTGCCCTTTAGCTCCCTTATCTCCTCCTCCCATTCTAATCTCCAGGACTTCTCCAGAGCTTCCCCCATCCTCTGTAACTCTCTACCCCAATTTATCAGACTATTGCCTGCTCTGCACACTTTTAGGCGATCACTGAAAACCTCTCATTCAAGGAAGCCTATCCCGCCCACAACTAATAATGTAATCTTCTATTCCTTCTACCAGTCCATCCCCCACAGTTACTACCTTTTGTACCACTGGCCCCTTCCTCTTAGATTGTAAGCTCCCAGGATCAGGCCCTCCTAACCCTCTTGTATTGAACTGTATTGTTGCTGTATTGTCTCCCTTTATATTGTAAAGCGCTGAATAAATCCTGTATAATAATAATAATAAATGTGCACATTTTGCAGGTACATACTTCATATTTTTCCCTGATTAACACTTTAAGTAGTGAGGTGACTTCTGACCAGCCAAATATAACTTAGTAACAAGTACAACTCTACCAGAAATGTTGGATATCTCTCCTTCCGGACACAGGACACACTCATAGCAGCATTTGTGAAATGAAGATCCAAACTTTTTTTCTGCTGCCGGGCAAACAGGGATCTGAGCATCGAGATATCGGGATCTGAAATCAGATATTATTATAATATGATGATGATGATTATTTTGTGACATTCCATCATATCTCATGAGGATATACAAACGGGGCGTATTTGCCACGAGGCAAACTAGGCATTTGCCTAGGTCGGCACTTTTCAGGGGGGCGGCAGGCGGCAGTGCTGCCCCCCCTTTCCCACGGAAGAGACACTACCGTGGGAAAGGGACAGGAGCAGGGCCGCCATGGCTGAGGGACTGGCTGCAGAGGAGAGCAGAGTGGTGGGTGGATCCCCGGTGTGCGCTCGGAGTGCTTGAGTGGAGGTGCCCGCTGTCAGTGTGCCAGTGTAGCGGCAAGATGAGTTCCCCCATGAAGATCCGGGATCTGCAGGAAGGCCAGAGGAAGGAGGAAGCAGAAGACGAAGAGGTCAGGGGGGCGGAGCCCGCCCACTCCTTTTCAGCCGCCGCCGAAGATCGTGGGGGAGAAGGGACACAGGCACCCGTCCTGGAATGATCCTGACAGGAGGAGCGGCTGCTGAACAGGTAAGTGCTTGGAGGTCTGGTGCTCCCTCAGTCCTGTGTCACTGTCCCCTTATACACTGCCCCCCACCTGTTCTACTTCCCTCCCTGTCCCATTGCCCCCCATCCATCACACTGCCCCCTGCCCCCACATGTCACCCTGCCCCACATCTGTTCCACTTCCCCCTCCTGTCCCCCACATTGTCCCACTACCACCCATCTGTCCCCACTGCCCCCCACCTATCCCTCTGTGCTCCTCCAGTCCATCTGCCCCCACCTGTCCCTCTGCGCTCCTCTTGTCCATCTGCCCCTCACCTGTCCCTCTGCACTCCTCCTGTCCATCTGCCCCCCACCTGTCCCTCTGCGCTCCCCTCCTGTCCAGCTGGCGCGATCCTGTCCCTCTGCGCTCCTCCTGTCCAGCTGGCGCGAGCCTGTCCCATACCCCTGTCACGCCATGCCCCCCACCTTTCCCTCTGCACTCCTCCTGTCACACTGCCTCTCCACCTGTCCCTCTGCGCTCCTCCTGTCCATCTGCCCCTCACCTGTCCCTCTGCACTCCTCCTGTCCCACTGCCCCTCACCTGTCCCTCTGTGCTCCTCCTGTCCTACTGCCCCTCACTTGTCCCACTGTGCTCCTTCTCCTGTCCCTCTGCGCTCCTCCCTGCCCAGCTGCCCCAATCCTGTCCCACGCCCCCTGTCCGCTGCCCCTCACCTATCCTTCTGCGCTCCTCCTGTCCATCTGCCCCTCACGTGTCCCTCTGTGCTCCTCCTGTCCATCTGCCCCCCACCTATCCCTCTGTGCTCCTCCTGTCCCACTGCCCCACCCTATCCCTCTGCGCTCCTCCTGTCCATCTGCCCCTCACCTGTCCCTCTGCGCTCCTCCTGTCCATCTGCCCCCCACCTGTCCCTCTGCACTCCTCCTGTCCAGCTGGCGTGATCCTGTCCCTCTGCGCTCCTCCTGTCCAGCTGGCGCGAGCCTGTCCCATACCCCTGTCACGCTGCCCCCCACCTACCTATCCCTCTGCACTCCTCCTGTCACACTGCCTCTCACCTATCCTTCTGCACTCCTCCTGTCCATCTGCCCCTCACCTGTCCCTCTGCGCTCCCTGTCCCACTCCTCCTGTCCCACTGCTCCTCACCTGTCCCTCTCTGCGCTCCTCCTGTCCCACTGCCCTCCACCTGTCCCTCTGCGTTCCTCCTGTCCATCTGTGCCCCTCCTCCTGTCCCATGTCCCCTCTGCCCACCTTCCCTCCTCCTGTCCAGCTGCCCCTCCATCCCACTGTGCCCCTCCCCTGTCCCTCTGCGCTCCTCCTGCCCAGCTGCCCCACCTGTCCCTGTCCCTCTGCCCCCTGTCCCTCTGCCCCTCCTGTCCCTGTCCCTCTGCCTCCTCCTGTCCCTCCTCCTCCTGCCCTGCTCACCTGTCCCTCTGGCTCCTCCTGTCCCACTGCCCCCACCTGCCCTCTGTGCTCCTCCTGTCCCACTGCCCCACACCTATCCCTCTGCGCTCCTCTTGTCCATCTGCCCCTCACCTGTCCCATTCCTGCCCCACTCCCCTCACCTGTGTCCCTGTCCTGCCCTGTCTGCTCTGATCCTCCCCTCTGCGCCCTCCTGTCCAGCTGTCCGCAAGCCTGCCCATCCCCTGTCACGCTGCCCCCCCACCTGTCCCTCTGCACTCCTCCTGTCCCACTGCCTCTCACCTGTCCCTTTGCTCCTCCTGTCCCACTGCCCCTCACCTGTCCTTCTGCGCTCCTCCTGTCCATCTGCTGTCCTCACCTGTCCTTCCCGCTTCCCCTGTCCATCTGCCCCTCACACTGTCACTCTGCGCTCCTCCTGTCCATCTGCCCTCACATGTCCCTCTGCATTCCTCCGTCCAGATGCCGTGATCCTGTCCCATACCCCCTGTCATGCTGCTCCCCACCTATCCCTCTGCACTCCTCCTGTCCCTCTGTGCTCCCTTCTCCTGTCCCACTGCCCCACCTGTCCCTGTCTGCACTCCTCCTGTCCCACTGCCCCTCACCTGTCCCACTGCCTCTCCTCCTGTCCCACTGTCCTCCTCCTGTCCCACTGCGTCCTCCTGTCCTGCCTCTCCTCTGTCCCACTGTGCTCCTCCTGTCCCACTGCCCCTCCCTATCCCACTGTGCTCCTCCTGTCCCACTGCCCCTCACCTGTCCCACTGTGCTGCTCCTGTCCCGCTGCCCTGATCCTGTCCCATGCCCCCCCCCCCCCCGTCACGCTGCCCCCCATCTGTCCCTCTGCACCTCCTGTCCCACTGCCCCTCACCTGTCCCACTTCCTCCTCACCTGTCCCACTGCGCCCTCACCTGTCCCACTGCGCTCTCACCTGTCCCACTGCCCCTCACCTGTCCCACTGCCCTCCTCCTGTCCCACTGCCCTCACCTGTCCCACTGTCCCTCACCTGTCCCACTGCACTTCTCTGTCCCGCTGCCTTCCAATCCTGTCCTGTCACGCCCCCCTGTCACGCTGCCCCCCCTATCCTTCTGCACTCCTCCTGTCCATCTGCCCCGATCCTGTCCCCTCTGCGCCCTCCTGTCCATCGCCCCTCACTTTTCCCTCTGCATTCCTCCTGTCCAGCTGCTGTGATCCTGTCCCATACCCCCTGTCACGCTGCCCCCCACCTATCCCTCTGCGCTCCTCCCTGTCCCACTGCCCCTCACCTATCCCTCTGCGCTCCTCCTGTCCCTCTGTGCTCCTTCTCCTGTCCCACTGCCTCTCACCTGTCCCACTGTGCTCCTCCTGTCCCTCACCTGTCCCACTGCGCTCCTCCTGTCCCACTGCCCCCTCACTGTCCCACTGCGCTCCTCCTGTCCCCCACTGCCCCTCACTGTCCCACTGCGCTCCTCCTGTCCTACTGCCTCTCCTCTGTCCCTCTGCGCTCCTCCTGTCCCACTGCCCCTCACCTGTCCCACTGCGTTCCTCCTGTCCTACTGCCTCTCCCTGTCCCACTGCACTCCTCCTGTCCCACTGTCCCTCACCTGTCCCACTGTGCTCCCACCTGTCCTGCTGCCCTCACCCTGTCCCACTGTGCTGCTCCTCTCCCGCTGCCCTGATCCTGTCCCATGCCCCCCTGTCACGCTGCCCCCCATCTGTCCCTCTGAGCTCCTCCTGTCCCACTGCCCCTCACCTGTCCCACTGCGCTCCTCCTGTCCCACTGCCCTCACCCCCACTGCCCCTCACCTGTCCCACTGCGCTCCTCACCTGTCCCACTGCCCCTCACCTATCCTTCTGCACTCCTCCTGTCCATCTGCCCCTCACTTGTCCCTCTGTGCTCCTCCTGTCCCACTGCCCCTCACCTGTCCCACTGCGCTCCTCCTGTCCCACTGCCCCGATCCTGTCCAATGCTCCCTGTCAAGCTGCCCTCCACCTGTCCCTCTGGCATTATATACACTTAGTGCTGGAGGTGCTGAAATTGCGCTCTCTCCCCATGCTCCCAATGAAAAAATACCCTGGTCCTTTTGCTGGCTCTGGGGCATGAAACAGATTGTAACAGCTTTTCTGGGCACAAGATGACATGGGAGTAACCACCCTTGGGCCTGCCCCTGCAGAGCTGACAAAAGCTCTTCCCCAGTGTGGCTCCTATCTCCTGGGAACAAGCTCCAATGCTGCATGGTATTGGTTTGCCTAACCTTTGTTTAGCCTATTAAATGCCTGAAGAGGACCAGTTCACAGAACAACTCATCCAAAGAGGGCATTGAGGGGAGCAGGATATGGAGGTGACTGTGCTGTCACCATCACCAGCCATCCAAATGGAGGGCAACACAATCAGCTCCAACAGTTGCCCTGTCCTGCATCTGTCCCAGTTGATAGTTACTCATTTGGCCATGAACTATATATATATATAACATCCCTGTCTATACTTGCTGGATCATGTTCCTGTAGTCAGGTAGACTCTTCAGATGATCACATGGTCCAGTGATGTAGAAACATTGCCTTCCTCATGATGGTGGTTGTTAGGGATGGTCTTACACAAAGAAATGGTGACTGGGAACCTGCTACTGAAAAGTCATAAAGGGGTCTGAACAGGGGCGGACTGACAACTCATGGGGCCCCCAGGCAATATGGGATCATGGGGCCCCTGTGTCCTCGCCCAAACTCAAAAAAACCTATGAAAAAAGGTACCAGGGGCATCTCATGGGGCCCCCTACTGACCCCGGGCCCTCTGTCAGTGCCCAAGTTTCCAAATGGTCAGTCCGCCCCTGGATACGGAGCATTCTCTTGATCTCTCTACAGAGGATTGGCAGAATGTTTGTTCTATCGGTCTACAAGGGTTCTCAGAATGTTTCAATTCAAGAACACAACTACAAAGTCCTTACACAGTGGTATAGAACACCCAACATTCTTCATAACATCTTACCTCACGTCCCATATACTTGCTGGCGCTGTTGTCCTATGACAGGTACAATGACCCACATCTGGTGGGATTGCCCCAAGATCAGTCCACCCCTGGGTTTGAATCCACCAGCTAGAAAGGCGCAATCTGTAAAACCACCAATATTCAAAGGTGGCTAGGAGTAAACACAAAAACTTGCCTGCCCAATGTTCTAGCTGAAGATAACCGGATGGGGTTGGGGGAATCTGAGCAAGGTCATACCCTAATGCGCACTCACCAGATACGCAATCTTTATGCGCATTTGTGTGAAATATCACTGGACCTCCTGTGTCATCATCCTGGTCTGGTCAGATCTGGTCAGCATATCCTCCTTTGCCTGGTACCCGGATAGATGCAGCTATTCCATGGATCTGGCTCTCCTGTCAGCAGCTCAGTGATCTCTCTGGTGACTTCTAGAATCTTCTTCTTCTTTCTCTCTTCTATCAGGGAGGGAGGTGGAGGCAATGTGATGTCATATGATCTCCAGACTTCACAGGAGGAAAACTCTACATCTTCTCTGCTGCCACTTTCAACAATTTCTCCTCTCTGATCCGAAAGAAGAAGAAGATTCTAGAAGTCACCAGAGAGATCACTGAGCTGCTGACAGGAGAGCCAGATCCATGGAATCTAGGAACCGAGAGGAAAATGAATATTTGTGGGACTTTAAAGTTGCCAGAAATAAGACAAAAATAACAATAAAATCTTTTTTATCTTAAAATGATCCTAATAAAATTGACTTAAACTGGAATACCGTATTTTCCTGGCGTATAAGACGACTTTTTACCCCTTGAAAATCTTCTCAAAAGTCGGGGGTCGTCTTATACGCCGGTAACGGCATGCTGACACTTTTTAGGGGGGCAGCGCGGTGCCGCTGATGCCCCCCCCCTTCCAACAGAAGGGACACTAAGTACAGGGGTGGGCAGGGGCTACTGTCTCTTACCTGGCTCCGGTCCCATGACGATCCGGTCCAGGAAGCGCGGCTGCTCCTTCCTTCGGTTCGTCCACTGGATGTTCGCGCGGCTGCTCGGCTCCGCCTCCTCACCGGTGATTGGCCGCCAGAACTGTAGCTCAGGAAAGGCACACAGGCGGCCAACCACCGGCGAGGAGGCGGAGCTGAGCGGCCCAGCGAAAATCGAGTGGAGATGCAGGTAAGTGTGCCGTGCTTAGGTGCTGCTGCAACCACATATGCTGCTGCAGCAGCACTGTACTGGAACAGGGGTCAGCAAGTGTCAGTGGAGGAATAGGTGCCCCATCATTGGTGTCACTGATACCAATGATGGGTCATTATTCCTCCCACTGACACCAAGGATGGGGCACTTTTACTCCCCCCCCACTGACACCAACATTGGGGCACTATTCCTCCCCCCCCACTGACACCAACGATTGGGCACTATTCCTCCCCCCCCACTGACCACCAATGATGGGGCACTATTCCAACCCCCCACAGACTCCAATGATGGAATTCTATTCCCCCCCCCCCCACTGACACCAACCGATGGGGCACTATTCCTCCCCACCCCCCACTGGACACCAATGATGGGATACATATTCCTCCAACTGACACCAAAGATGGAGCACTATTCCCCCACTGACACCAATGATGGGGTGCCTATTCCCCCCAATGCGTACTCCCAATGATGGTCGGCGCACATATTCCTGCCACTGATACAATGATGGGGCACTATTCCTCCACTGACACCAAGCTGGATGGGACGCACATTCCTCCGCCACTGATACCAATGATGGAAAACTATACTATTCCTCCTCACGACACCATGGACTGGGGCACTAATTCATCCACTGACACCAATGGACCCTATTCCTCCCACTGACACCATGTGAAGGGGCACTATTCCTCCCACTACAACCAATGATGGGGCACTATTTCC